GGTTAAACCCATCAACGGCCAACCCTAGCCTCACATTTCGAGGCTCCAAGGCAAACTCGGGATGTTGTGCATCAAATTCCTTCCACTCATCATTGTCAGCGGGATGCCTCAATATCTCGTCGTCCACTCGTTTGTCTTTGTACCATCTCATGTCCTCAGCACTCTTCCTTGACATGTACAATCTTTTCAACCTTGGTGTCAAAGGAAAGTACCGCAATACTTTATGAGGGATCTTCTTACCCCTTCCACGATTGATCTTGTATCTAGATATCTTACAAGTCGGACATTTATCTAGTGTTGCATTCTCCTTCCAAAATAATACACAATCATTTATGCAAGCATGAATGAGCTCACGTGACAAGCCCAAGTCACGTAGTATATTCTTAGCTTCATAAGTTGACTTTGAACCAAATTTTCTTTCAGTAAAAGTCTACTTAAAAACTCTAGCATCATATCAACTGACTTATTGCTCCAATGATTTGTTACATTCATATTAAGCACCTCAATCATAAACTTTAACAAAGTACAATTTGTACAATTTGGGAACAGCTCACGCTTGGCATCAGTCAACAATTGATCAAAAGTTCTCACTTCCTCCCCTTGAGTTGTATCAGTCGATTCCCCTCTTATTCGATCTTCCACTAAGGCTTCAATACCACCTACAATTTCATCACCATCAAGTCGCATCTCATCATCATGGTAAGCCTCGTTTGAAACATGGGGTTCCCCATGCTGGTGCCATATAGTGTAAGTTTGCATAATCTCATATTGGAGCAAATGAATTTCCACATTTTGAAGATTTTGTCTACAAACATTCACACACTTTATACATGGGCACAACAAATTACCATTCTGGTCTATAACCCTCATTGCAAATTGAAGAAATAACTTGACCCCATCATTATATGGCTTACTCATCCTTCCATCAGCCGTCCTACCTAGGGCAATCCAACTTTTATCCATGTCTGATCACAAATGAAAGATTAGGAACAATATAGTATAATGTGTAGAACAGAATTTATAATTGAAGCAAACAGAGGAGGAAAGAAATACTTTTATTGATGTGATGATGATAATACTTCACCTGACACAAGCCTTTTATAGGCAAAACCATCAACAGAAACTTACTAAAAAATAGGAACAGAAAGATAACATGTGCAGCAACATGTTGCAACAACCTCCCTAAGACTAGGACAATTCCTAACTTATTGAAAAACTGAACAGAGGCATATCTAAAACAAAACAAACTTGACTTGTTCAACACATCCTCACAGTCACATGCTGATGTTGATAACTCTAACACTCTCCCTCAACATCAGCTTCCAAACTCTTTATCATGCCGAGCTGATGACAAAAGCTTTCAAACTTGTTGCCACTCAGACCTTTTGTGAATAAGTCTACGACTTGGTCTTCTGATTTAATTTGCCTCATCTCAATCTCTTCTTCCAAAACCTTTTCCCTAATAAAATGATAATGTACTTCCACATGTTTTATTCTTGCATGAAAGACCGGATTCTCCGCCAAACGAACTGTCGACTGGTTGTCACAGTACAATGGAACGGCATAGTCCACTAGTTGATGTAGATCGTTCATCAACCGTATTAACCAAGTACTCTCTTAAGCTGCCATTGCTGCTGCTTGGTACTCTGCCTCCGTTGTTGACAGAGATACTGTCAGTTATCTCTTGCTACACCATGAAATTGCTCCTGATCCAAGCATAAACACATACCCGGTAGTTGATCTACGAGTGTCGTGATCTCTTGCATAATCAGCATCACAGTAGCCAACTAGCTTGCAATCTTCACCTTTCTTGTACAACAGACCACAATCAATTGTATCCTTCACATATCTCAAAATTCGTCGAATTGCATCCAAATGAGGCTTCTTTGGATTTTGCATGTATCGACTCATCACACCAACTGCATAAGAGATATCGGGTCTAGTCAAAGTTAAGTAAAGCAAACTACCCACCAATTGCCGATACATTGTTGCATCATTCAAGTCTTTGCCTTCGTGTGCACACATCTTAGCATTATGTTCCATTGGTGCTGAGAGCGGTTTACATTTGAGCATCCCGAACTTTTTCAACAAATCTTTGGCATATTTCTATTGACAGAGAAATATCCCTTCTTGTGTACGATCCACCTCTAGCCCAAGAAAGTGCTTAAGGTGTCCAAATTCTTTCATCTGGAAACAAACTGACAAGTTCTCCTTCGTTCAGCAAATTGCCTCAACATCATCTCCAGTGATGATTAGATCATCTACGTATACGAGTACAATAGCTAACTTTCCTCCATTAGCTTTAACAAACAAGCTGGAATCTGCAAGTATTACTGAATACTCACTTTGAGTTAGAAATTCAGCAATCTTACCATACCATGCCATGGGTGCTTGTTTCAATCCTAGAGTGCCTTCCACAACTTACACACATATTTAGGATGACCTTGACTCTGAAAGCCCATCGGTTGATTCATAAAGATCTCCCGATCCAACTCTCCATGTAAGAATGCATTCTTCACATCCATCTGCCACAAGTTCCAATCTTTGTTAGCCGCAAGTGCAAGTAAGACTCGTACAGTTGTAAGCTTTGCAACTGGACTAAACGTTTCATCGTAGTCTAGTCCAAATTGTTGAGAGAATCCTCAAGCTACCAAACGAGCCTTATGTCTTTCAATTGATCCATCTGTGCGACGCTTTATCTTATAAACCCATTTGCATGAAATAGGTTCTACATCTCTTGGCTTTGGCATGAGCTCCAAGTTTGATTTTATTTTAATGCTGTAATTTCCTCTTCCATAGCTTTATTCCAGTCTGGATTCTGAAATGCTTCTTCAAATGTCTCTGGTTCTTTTGTGTTTGGGCATCTTCTACTATGCAGCATTGG